TAACACGGTGGAAACCCGGTCTTCTACTAAAAAGTTAAAAAAACTAGGGACGAGGTGGCGAGTGTTCTGTAGTCTTTAGCTAACTGAGCTGAGCCAGAGACAGGCGTAAACACCGGGAGGCGAGCTTGCAGTGAGCTAGAGATTCGGCCACTTGCACTCCAGCCTGGTGACAGAGCGAGACTCCGTCTCAAAAAAAAAAAAAAAAAAGAAAAAGAAAACAGAGAAGGCACAGGCTCCGTTTAGGGAAGAAAGTCTGTTTTTCCATATGCAATCCCAAGAGTGGTAAACAGGGCATGTTCGTCCATCTCTTAAACTGCTTACTTTTGTATTGTGTTTACCTGGTTTGTGTATGTTTGCTTTTTTTTTTTTTTTTAAGCTGAACAATAAGTTTCTGCAACAGAGGTTACCCTTGGGTATTTTTTTGTTTTGTTTCTTTGTTTTTGTTGTTTGTTGTTTTTTGATAAGAGTCTTACTCTGTCACCCAGGCTGCAGTGCAGTGGCAGCGATCTCTCCTCACTGCAGCTCCACCTTCCAAGGTTCACTCTATTCTCCTGCCTTCACACTCCTAGTAGCTGAGTGATTTACAGGCTGCCACACAACCCGGGCTCGATCTTGGCTCACTGCAAGCTCCGCCTCCCAGGTTCATGCCATTCTCCTGCCTCAGCCTCCCGAGTAACTGGGACTACAGGTGCCCACCACCATGCCCGGCTAACTTTTTGTATTTTTAGTAGAGATGAGGTTTCACCATGTTAGCCAGGATGGTCTCGATCTCCTGAGCTTGTGATCACCCACCTCGGCCTCCCAAAGTGCTGGAATTACAGGTGTGAGCCACCACGCCTGGCAAGTTTCTTTAATTTTATGTTTGATTTGGCATTCATCTTTAATCTCCCTCTAGCACCACCAGACTTTTTCTCTCTGTATCTTATGATGTAAATTTTGCTATTTGATTTTCACCTGAGTTGTTTCCTTTACTATGCAAACTTAAGGCTATTTAGCTGACAGTTGCCTAGGGTTGTGAAACAGGTTATCAATAATCTGAGGATATCCATAAGATGTACTTCTATCAGCATGCCTAATACGTCTATGTATTTATGTGTTGTGTACACAATGCTTCACTACTGAAAATACATAAAAGAGCTCTAATTAACTGGTTTAAGAAAATAAAAGTGGGCCGGGCACGGTGGCTCAAGCCTGTAATCCCAGCACTTTGGGAGGCCGAAACGGGCGGATCACGAGGTCAGGAGATCGAGACCATCCTGGCTAACACGGTGAAACCCCGTCTCTACTAAAAAAATACAAAAAACTAGCTGGGCGAGGTGGCAGGCGCCTGTAGTCCCAGCTACTCAGGAGGCTGAGGCAGGAGAATGGCGTAAACCCGGGAGGTGGAGCTTGCAGTGAGCTGAGATTTGGCCACTGCACTCCAGCCCGGGTGACAGAGCAGGACTCCGTCTCAAAAAAAAAAAAAGAAAAAAAGAAAAGAAAAGTGCTTGAATGAAATGCTTTATCAGGAAAAAAGACTAGTCAAATGTTTTTTCAAGTTTATGTAACTCAGTAAAATTGTTAATAAATAAGCTAGACTTAAAGTTACTGGTAAAGTAATATTAGAAATATCTTAAGAATTGTCAGCATACATTTTTGTTTCCATTTATTAATAAAGCAGTTTCATACTTATCCCTGCCAAATACTATATGGTGTCAAAATTTGTCATAGGGGTTACAAAACTATAAATGCAGCCCAAAACAGAATGATCTTTGCTTGTGTAACCTTGTTAGAAATGCAAAATGCTTGTTCCCCAGTGCCAAAAAGAAATAGCACTCGAACATAAATTTAATTTTCTCAGCAAGGCAATTTTCACTTTCTGCAGAAAGGGTGCCCCTCGCAGATGAAACAATGGTGAGAGCACACCTGGACAGGGGAAAGGCAGGAGTTCTTATTCCTGATGCAGGTAGCCCCTAGTGCGGTGTTTTCCCTATTGGATAGGGTTGGACCACACAGTCTAAGCTAATTCCGATTGACTATTTTAAAAAGAACAGGAGTACCAGCTGGAGTGACAGGGTAAGTAGTTTGACAGGAAGAGTGGTTACAGAACAGGTGGCTCAGGATGAATCAGGGCAGAGTAGGTGACCAAAAGTGACTGAGATCAAAGCAGGTGACCAGATGTGAGCTACTGATTAGGAGTGGTGGGAAAGTTG